AAATTGATATTCAAACTAGGCTACTATAACTATCATTAATTCATACACATACTAGAATAAATATTAGGATAATTATATTAATTTGATTAGTAAGTTAATCCATCTATGACAATTGACACCTTTTGGCTTTATCAACTATTCTGCATTTTAAATTCTAAAGATCACTATATAATACTAAGAGTAGACTAAGTCATATATTAAGTTAATTAAGTACAACTAAAATAAGACAGCTCTTTACTAATAAGCCTACTCTTCTATTCAGTAATTTTTACTATTATTATTAGAGGCCTAAAATTACGTTAGACTACTAATCTAGATTAAACTTAAATTTTGGATATTATTTAATGTACTAGTCTGTAACCTTTTATTTAGGCTACATGTAATTTTTACAAGTTTAAAATTGTAGCCTTATTAAGCCTAGTTAACTTTGCTTAACTTACATACAAATACTAAATACCTACCCAATCACAGGCCTACTAGACAACTACTAAGCTACTACATCTAAATCTACAGTCTAGATAGGCCTACTGAACTAAAAGTAATATCACAACTGTAAAAATTAAGCATACTTTATTTTTTTTACAATACTATTTTAAGCCTATAGACCTACTGCTATTAAATATGAATCTATTAGTTATTAGACTAACATAAGTCATCATAAGTCTAATTAGTAATTACCTCTAACTAGGCCCTAATCATATTAACAAAGTAAGTATTAGGACTGTCATCTGTACCATAGAATACTACTACTATAGTAAATATATTTTAACAAGTAGGCTCTAACAAATTAGACTAAGCATTTATTAGACTAGGCGTATGTAGTGCCCTACTAACTAATTACTAAGGACTAAGATTAACTATTTACTATATGACTAGTCTATAAAACTAGTTTATACCAGCTACACATTTTAATATAAACTATGGGCCTAATTTATTTAACTTATCTATTAGTTACTATTAACTTAAAATACTTCAATATACTTATTGAATTATTTAATATAGATTTTTAAAATATAGATCTATATTAATATATAACTTCTAGATCTAGATCTAGACTAGAGTAGATCTCTTATTCTCTACTACTTGACTTATACTTAATAGATCTACTATCGTACAATATAAAGTTACTTAACTAACTATAAGATCTATAGATCTAGTTAGTAGTATTAGTTATTAGATCTAGTATTATAAAGTATTATTGAGTATTAAGTTTATAAATTAGAATAGATCTAGATCTAATCTAGATCTAGTGTTTTTATATTAAATAATTAAACATATTAAAAAGCCGTAACATTCTAGAACTAGATCTACTACTAGACTAGATCTAGATTCTAGATCTAGAAATCTAGATCTAGATCTAGAATCTAGATTCAAGACTAGATCTAGATCTAGAGATAATAATTAAATTAAAGTTAATAGATTCTAGAATCTAGATCTAGATCTAGATTCTAGATCTATCTAGAGATCTAGATATCTAGAATAAAAAAGAATAGATCTCTAGACTCTCGTCTAGAGTACTCCTCCTAGATTCTAGAATCTAGTACTAGATTCTCGATATAAATCTATTTTAGTCTAGATAATCTAGATTAGATCTAGATCTAGAATCTAGGTCTAGAAACTTATGGCTAGATTCTAGATCTCTAGCTTTTAGAGCACTCACAGAACTCACAGTGAGCAGTCACAGGCCTAACAAAAAATAATGAAACCTGCGTTCAAAACATTCTACAAAAACATTGGTAACAATTAATAAGAATAATGTTAGATATTAGTAATCTGAGCATAACAGTCATAAAAAAATAAGCCAACTCTAATGAAAAGCTATACAAACGAATTTTAAAAGCCTGAATCGAACTGAAAATATTCCCTTGTTCGCCATTTTGTTTTCTTGGATCGCCTTGTCGGTATTTATCATGGACAATAAATGTTATGACTTTAATCTTTTTACTCTCCCTGGCCACTTCAGTTCAGTTCAAGGTGGGGTTGAGGGCGGTTTTATTAAATATTTAAATTTATACAATAATTCAAAATCATTTTCAACGGCTTATGTTCAATACAAAAATATGAAAATGAGTGTAATCGATGGTTCCCAAACGGCTTTAATTTTTTAAAATGTAGCTATAATTTTATCGCTTCCTATATTTTTTAAAATAATTTTTAAAAAATTTAGTATGATTATATAGACTTTTCCTACCTATTGTGCATCTCATGATTTCTATAGTAGGCCTACATGTATTAACGAGTTGTAATGTTATGATAACCATTTCTAGTGCAGTGTGTGTTATGTGTGAGTTCTATGGTATGTAAATGATGCTCTGTGGTGATTGCATTATGTTCCAGGTCTTTCATTTGCTGGAGATTATTTCTAGGCTACTTAACCATGTGAATTCAAGCGTATTGGTGAATACAGTTTTAACAGTACATGCAGTTCAACAGTCTTAAAATAAAAACCATTGTATACATCGATTGGCTGAGTGTTTTGTTTTTCATGCACTACATCATAAACAACTATATCTTGAGATAGATACATCTGGTAGTCTATGTTATGACATGTACAACTTGAACTGACTGGCGAATCCTCCCCCCCCCCCCCCCCCCCCCATGAAAGACTGATGGTTGACCCTTAGAATATTGATTGAGCTGAAACATTACGTAAAAGGTATAGCCTACTGATTAAATTTTTTTCGTATTACAATGTAAGCCTTTCTGCAAAGAATTTTAAAACATCCAAGCTAGGCAGTAGTGTAGCGAGGGGGGGGGGGGGGGGGGGGGAGGGGAGGGCGGGGAGGGGGACAGATGTCCCCGGGCGCCGTCCTTAGGGGGGCGCCAAAATAGGTTGGAAAAATAAATTGAAAGTTTGAGGGGGGTGCAAATCGAAAGAAATTAGTGACTCTAAAGAGTCTAGGCTACTACCAATGAAGGCCTATGAGGCTAATCATACTAATATATTTTAAATAGCCTATAATTAGAGATTCAGATAAAAGCTACCGTATACAACTTCTTAGTATAAAACTTGTTTGTCAGTATACTACTTTCTAAAAAATCTAGTGAACATGAGAAAAAATATTAAAATACCGCGCAATCAGTAAGTCTCGGCATTAGGTAATGTTCATTGTAGCACCGCGTCAACACTTGCAACATGTATACTATATATGTCTAGAAAAAAGTCGCAGTAATTGGAAGTTAGGCTTAAATTAAATAATTTCCTCGAAGACATGTACAGTATAGGGCTGGTAAGTAGGTCACCAATCAGTTATATGGCTCATGCAGGTTTTATTCAGCCGTAGAGCTGGTTGGTAACCTACTTACCAGCCCTATAATAATGTCTCTTGTATGAACACGGTGTAAGGGGATTAACCAAAACATTGTTCAAATAAAGTTGCTGAGAGTAGACTCCCTTGTCTTTCTTAACCTAGAAACAAGTTACATAACAGAAAATCAAAATATGGAAGGAAACTAAAATTAATCATGTAAATCATTATCAGTCTAGATCTAGATCTAGATTCTACTTCATATCCAGATCTAATAAATTTTCTGTAAGTAGATCTAGAGTCAAAGTGCTAGGTCAAGAAGTCTACCTACTACACTACTACAGTGATAGATCTAGATCTAGAATCTAGATCTAGACTCTAGTAGACTACTAACTAAATTTTTACTAAAGTAACTTACTAACTAAACTTAATCAGACTTAATGAGATTGTTATTGTAAAGGTGATTGGGAGAGGGAGGTGGAAAAAGAGGTAACAAAGAAAATAGATCTATAGGCCTATTCTATATAATACTAGATCTAGATCTATATGTTAATCGATGTGACAGAATGAACCATATTCAATATTTTAATAGAGTCAGTGAATAGATAGATCTAGATCTAGATACTGTAGATACTGAGTGATAGGCGCTATAGAAAATGTGAATCTCATTTATAAAAGTATTTAATATGTAGTGTCTACTCGGAAGAGGATTTTTCTCCCCAACATCTCCACTTAGTCGGCAAAAGATAGCTCTGCGCATGCGCAGTGACCTAGGGTTAGGGCTAGAATGAGGGTTAGGGATAGGGATAGGATTAGGGATAGGATTAGGGTTGGTGTTAGGGTTCTGTGGTTGTAAACACACGCATGCGCAGTACCATCGAAAACATTGCCGCGAAGGCAAGTCGTAGTTTCTCTCCATTTCGCATGCATATCGCATGCGTATCTTATTCCGGCTAGCATCGGCCTATTTAATATTGTTAGGGCGATGGATAAAGTTAAGGGGTTGTAGTATTTTTATTGGCCAAAGCTTAATTAATTATTAATAATTATGCATGTAATTATGTGTGTACAGTTAATCCAATAGTATCTTTATAGTTTCAGAAAATGCCTTCTTCATCAATTAATGGATAACTGGAGTTTTTGTTTTGACACACTAAACCTTGATAACCCTTCCATCACAAGGTAATTATTCATTTTAAGTTTGTGAATGAATTGGATGAATGGTAGATCAGACTTATACTTACTTGAAATATTGCTAATTATATACAGCTTTAATGGTTACCTCACTTAAATCAGGGAAAACAAAAAATGCTGGGCATTCACTCAACCATGAAGGTTTGTTATTTTTGTTATGGTAAAAATAACATGATCTCTTCCTCATCCCTATATATATATATATATATATTATAACATACGAGCCGACCCGCAGCGTATCATACGCCGCTATTTAGTTGTTTTATTTTCTACTTTTCAGTAATTCATAATTTGTGAATTCGACAGTACCAATGCTGCCACTGAAAATATTTGCTTTAAAACACTATCAGATGGTCATTAAGGATGATAAAGCAACTAGAAGAAACTATTCTTCTAAATATGATTCAAACATGTAGAATATATAATATTTTTTCAGTTAATTTCTTTTTGTATAACTTAAGTAAAAACGACTTGTTCAGTGTTACTTAGTAGTTTGTAATTAAATATTCTATAGAAGGAATGCAATAAATATTTCTTAATTTTCTTCAGATTTACACAAGATGCACAAGACACATATGCCATCACAGATTTAATTGAAGGAGAATGTTACATGTGAAACAAGCATGTCACATGTATGGTGTTTTAAAAAGCTTACTTCTAAAACCTAAGCTGTTAAACTTTCGTAACATCACTACAAAATCAAACCATTACACTGTTCTTGGCATACATCAGCATGCTTCAACAGAGGAGATCAGAGCTGCATTCATCAAGAAATCAAAGGAATGTCACCCCGATACAAATCAAAGTAACGCAGACAATCATACGCAGTTTGTTTTGGTAAACGAAGCATATTCGACTTTAAGTAAACCAGGAAGTCGGAGGGACTACGACTTATCTTTAAATCACCAAAAGCACTATAAAAATTCACGCAGCGCAAAACAGAGTACAGAGTTTGAAGGTCATGAAATTTTTCATAGACCTCAGGCGTATAATGACCTGAATGACGTAAAAAGACAGGCTAACGACAAGTTCTACCGTAATCAGCCATATTATGGGATTAAAGGACTAAAAAAAACTACCTAACTCAAGCATTGTTGTGGGATGTTTAATCTTCATGCTTGTAGGAATGGTCTTACAGTTCATTGTCGTCACAAGATCTTATTTGCAGTCCAAGAAAAGGCTGGATGCAACCAGCGCTAGAAATCATGAACTTCACATGAATGCTCAGAGAAAGTACGAGGAAACACTTTCTGTAAAGATACCTTTAAATGGGCTTACACCCACCGGTGAGAGGGCAAAAAACAAAGCAGTTTTAGATAAATTTACAGCAGATTGAATTTCTTCTTATAAGGCTGCTAGTAGAATTTTATTTTTAGAGATCTTATAATATTTTACCCACAATACTGTGAGTGTGAGCTAAATTTTAAACTCCATTAAACTGTTTACCAGTTGTCAGCACATTTTAAACCAGTCTTTGGAAAACTGAAAACCTCTTCTGATAATAATTTAAATTTAAAAAATATTTTATCAGAGTAAAATATTTTATTCAAGTGTATTTTTAGCATCATGTAGTAAAACTAAATGTTATAACACTAAAAAAGCTACATGACATTACTGCCAGTCAAACACAATGTTCATGATTTGTAATCTAGATGGCAAAATAATATTTTAAATAGCACCCTGTTTTTGAAGAATATGTGCAATTAATGTTGAAAAAATTGTAATGTTTTATATTATGTTAAATGTGTTATAAAAGGGTTTGTTGTGCATTTGTTAATTATTTATGTGATTTGTGTTGTGTGTACATATTTTATGACTGCTTACAAAATGTTTCTGTGTGGTGATTTCATTATGTCCCAGCTCTTTCAATTGTTGGAGATTAATTCTAGGTTACTTTACCATGTGTATTCAAGGTGTATTAATGAATACAGTTTTAACATTGCATGCAGTTTAAGAATCTAAAAATAAATATTTCTTGTGCATTATATATGTATCTGTGTCTATTTTTACATGAACCACTTCACAAACTACTTTGCCAAGAAACAGATAGACCAAGTAGGCCTGGTATAATTTATGAGATGTTCGGCTTTAGATCTAGATGCATTTAAAGGAAAATTGTATCACTAAAGATGAGGAAATCTTCAAGTTTTGTCTAACCAGCTTCCCTCCCAAATTACCTGACACCTCTGGATAGACTACCCTGTCCCCCAGATATACTTCCCCTTTCCATCCCCCCCCCCCCCCCCCCAAAAAAAAATAATTATAAAACTGGCCTGTGGTCAATTATACACACACATTTTAAAAATAACTTTCTTTTTATTATAGTTAGCTTTATGAATTTTAACTTTGAAGTTTTTCTGTAGGCTACATCAAATTTTTAGAATGTAGGCCTATTGGTAAATCAGGTAACAGCCTTCAAACTGATGAGTTGAGTCTCTCTTTGATTTCTGACCAGATAACTGTCTTCAGAGTGATGAGTCTCTTTAAAAAAAGAGAAGTGAATATAAGGAGGAATTAAATGAGTATAGCCCTACCTATACATACAGTGTCTTCATTGGCTGAGGTAACATTAACAGAAACTCTACTTCACCTGCCCATTGCCCACATAGCGTTCAAAAGGGTATGTTATTATGCATTGTGGTAAATAAGCCCAGCAGATGGCAGTGATCACAGCTGTGATTAGATGGGTCTGCCTCCACTTTACTCCAGTGACACAGGCAAGATTAAAAAAAAAGGGGGGGGGGGGGGGGGGAAATTCAAAGTCCCTTTTATGTGAACACAATATGTGTAAGTCATCACATATTAAATCTATATAGGGTTATAATTAATTTTAAATTATTTATATATATATATATATATATATATATATATATATATATATATATATATATATATATATTTTATTATGTGTAGGCCTATATGTGGACTAATAATAGTAATATTATAGGGCCTATAGACCAGGCCTACATGCTGAATTTTGTCTACACGCAAGTTTCTGCCGTTTTACTATGAAGTAGTAATTCATAAATGACGTCACAAAAAGATCTTTTTCCCCTCTTTATCCCTTCCTCCCAACTTACACATCGTCACAAAAAGCCAGACCCAACCCTCTAAATAAAAAATGACGTGAAACCCTCATTCTACTTTCTACTTAAAAATTACGTTTTTAGAACAATGATTTCTTTCTATAAATATTTAATGAGCGGTCGAGATTTAGCAGGGCATTTTAAACAATTTTTACTGCAATTTACGGAAAAAATAGTCTTTTTTAAAACTGGAAATATGCTTTTCAAACTGCAAAAGTGTGCCCCCCCCCCGATCGTCACAAAAGTTCCCATCGCTATATATATCTCCGTTAGTGCGATGTTGTTCATGGACGGCCACGAACTAAAATAATAATAAAAGGCCCTAAATAAAACTAGACTATAACTAAATATAGATTCTATGAGAGGCTCAGTATTTTCTAACTAGAACTATGTTTAGACAGTTTCTTTCACTTAGTGCAGTGGGGGGGGGGGGGGGGGGGGTGGAAAAGACGCTTCTACCTTAGCATACAAAAATTTACTAGATTCTAGATCTAGTCTAGGTTGTAAATCTAATATTCATGATTTTGGCCAAAGTTTACGAAAAGTCTAAATATGCAGATTCAAGCGTAGATCTACGCCTAAAAAGTTAAAAACTAATATAAGACCCAGGGTCTAATCAGCTAAATCCAAATAATGAGAAAATAACTGTTGTGGCAATGCAAGAGTTACTGCTCATTGAACAACATGTCGGTTCCGCTGGTAAATAATTTTGAAGTCCCTTCATGGTAAGATATGCATATTTATTGCTTTTCTTTCTTTTCCAGTTGGTTTTTTATTATTTAGAATTGCATTAACACCTACTTTATTTATTAAACAATTATCGGATTACTAGATTTCTAATTCTATATGTAAGTTTTACTTGATAGCCCATAATTTACTGTCTAGAAAGATCTACCAGACTCCACACTCATACTCCACAGAGTACCAATCCACACAGCCTGTCAGTGTTGGTGTCGTACTCAGTTGTACTACCTCAGTGTCTAGCTTCTTTGAGTGTCTGAGTCTTGAGTGTAGTCACTTAGATCTGTCCTACCTAAATAGAATATAGGTTCTAGATTTACTTTGTAGAAGTCAAGTACTGACAAGTAGATTCTAGAATCTAGATCTCTAGATCTAGATCTAGAGATCTTCTCAGAGACAGAGTTACACTTACAGGGGGCCTTAGGCCTTAGAACAGTTACAGAGTTAGGCCTAAGCCCTAAGTTAAGTACTAGCAGTGGCGTAGGCAGGGGGGGGGTTAGGGGGTCATAACCCCCCCATAGACCCCTAGCTATATAGAAAAAGTATGAGGGGGGGGGGGGTGCAAATCAAAAGTTTGAGGAGGGAGGGGGGTGCAAATTGAAAGTTTGAGGGGGGGTGCAAATCGAAAGTTTGTCCCCGGGTAAAAATTGGAACCCCCCCCTTGAGACGATCCTGGCTACGCCACTGAGTACTAGATTCTAGAATCTATACTTTATTAAGTAAAGGGTCATCTATAGATGACGTCACACTTTATTTGACGATTTTTACCTCCCCCTCCCCTTTGTTTGTCACACTTCAGCCTCAAAACTGCAGTTGAATTTTTCTTAAAATATCGATTTTTTCCAAAATCTTGTCTGAACCATGTCAATATAGAGTATTTTAATCATTTACTATTTATTTGTTTTCTTAAATGTGAAATAACAGTTTAAATTCGCGTTCTAACATTGCTTTTTTCTAATGCAAAAGTCACACCATCTGAATCCCCCCTCCCTCCCCCTCATCACACACCATCACAAAATTATGTAACCGGGAACCCTGCCACCGCCTACTAGTGTGATGTAATTTATGGACAACCCCTTAGACTAAACAGTAAAATAAGTAGATCTAGTTGGCCTATAGTTATAGTTTAGTATTGATAGTTAAGTATAGTAGCCACAGGCACATATCTAAAATCAAGTACAATCTGTTTCTAGGAAAACCTTAGGCCTACTACACAGTGGCTACACAATTTTAATTCAAAGCAGCATATTATTTATCCTAATAAATTAAATTTCAGCCTTCTAGGCCTATTTAGTTTATTAACCATACCTACATTACTAACTCCATTATCCATTAGGCCTACACATGGTACAAACTTCGTAGAGTCTACATTAATTGTAGTCTAATTAAAACACCTAGCCGCTAGTAAACATGCCCAAGGGACTGAAATAATTAATTTTTTTAAACTTTGATAACATTCATAAATTAATGGGCTTCTGAAAGGCCTACTAAAAATCGGGGGGGTCGGGGGGATACATGATTTGGCTACATCTGGACATATTCTTCTATAAGCTAGTCCCACTGATAATCTATAATAATACATCATCTACAAGCATATAAGGTAAAGCTTTCATTTTTGGGGATACTAATTAGGGGTTTTTCCAATGGGAAGCTAAGCATAATTTTCTGAAATGAAAAGTGGAGCAATAATTCCTACTTATGCTAAATTATGCATACAAGGACTATTAATTTGCACCTCTGAGAGCAATGAATAATTGACGTTGGCACTTTCCCATGTAATTGATTTCTTAGAAGGACAATGTTCTAAATGAAGCACAATGCAAAATTTTGTAAGGTGTCGATTAACAGCAGTTAACTTATATGCATATCCTGCCTGCCTTAAACTGACTTATATAATTGTTAATTAATGTAACCTAATAAATGAATTTTATGAATTGTATTTTGTTGATTTAGTTACAACAGTTGAATAACTATCAATAGTCATTACTAATGCTACATTTAAACCACTCTAGATCTAGATAATTCATGTAAAAAATAATTTTGATATAAACAGAGGACATAAATCTTAATCTAGTAGATGCTGGCAAAAATATATTTTAAATTAAACCTATAGGCCTGTAATAAATGAATAAGAATTTTCTCAACTTGAAAAATAACTGAAATGAACTTTTTGTTTTCAGGGCAGGGAAACCTCCTCCAGGTCTTCACTTAGATGTTCTAAAAGATGGGAAAATGATACAGGTAAAACAATCAAGACACTTAATTATGACGCAACAAATTAGCTTCACTTTCTAAATTTTATTTCAGTGGTAGGTCCCAATATTTTTTAAACATGTTACAAAATTTATTATGGTATAAATATGCCACATGATAGAAGGTAGCACACATGAAGTATAATAGTATTAAATTCATTGCCAACCTTTAACATACACCAAGCACCAAGTCATAGCCACAGGTTTTATTTGGGTACTTTAGGGTTAGAGTTTGCAGAATTTATAGTAATTAGTTGTACTGTGCATTTACTTTTACTGACCAGGGCAGCATGTCGGTCATTAATGTTCAGAGACTCTTACACTTTGTCAGTGTAGCAGTAAAATAGGGGAATAATCTGTATGAAATATGTTAATTTTGTGGGAAAATTCTCACTGCACAACCAAGAAAATTGAACTTAATTATATTTGCCTTATTCCTTTCCCTTGAAAAATTTACAGTAAGAGCATTACATCATTATTTTTAATTAACAGATCTTTATTCAGCCATTCATCATTCTTTTTTGTTTAACAAGCTTTTAATAAAAGTTCTTATTTGTTTAAAACTGTAATTTAAAAAATAAATTTAATGAACTTTAAGGTGAGGCTTTCGCTGATGTACATAGTTTTCAGAGTTTTCATTTTAATAATAATAATAATCATTCCCATATTTTGTTCCTCAGAAATTGATGATAGATGAGAAAAAATGTTACTTCTTTGGTCGCAATAAACAGCTTTGTGATTTCACCATTGACCACTCATCATGTTCACGCGTCCATTCAGCACTGGTCTGGCATCGTCATTTGTCTCGGCCATTTCTAATAGACCTAGGCAGCAGTAAGTGGGTTTTTATATCTGGGCGCCATTTTTATCATGTGGGTTAAATTACAATAGGTATAATGGTGTGAATAGAAAGGTGGTCAGGTGATATAATATGATAAAGTTTCTTAGAGAAACTAAATATTTGAGTATATCATCAATATTTTAGTATTAGTGATTTTTTTTGTTTGTTGTATAAAAGCATGACAAGATAAGTTTTTGTTAAGTCGTTACCCACTATCCTTGTTGGGTTGGTAGTCATTGGTAGTGTTACAGCTACAGCTAATGGGTAGGTTTGTATAATAATGCTATGGTAACAATGGTAAAAAAATAATAACAGCATAGAATTGGTCCTGATGAGGTTTCAATTATCCCTTTTTTTTACCACTTGCTGCTTATTTCTTGTTTATAATTAATATTTGTTATATTTTAACCTGAATCGAAAAAAAATAACTAAAATTAAAATTGAATATAATTATATACTTTATTACTCTTTATAACTAGTGATGTATTTTAATAGGTTTGGTTGAATTGTATGTCTTCTTTAGCTCATGGAACATACGTAGGCCACATAAGACTGGAGTCAAAGAAACCTCAACATATTCCCATTGATAGTGAGATTCATTTTGGTGCATCGACAAGAATGTATGTGATAAGGGAACGACCACAGATGGGGATGGGAGGTTTGGATGAGAAGGATGGAAAACGGGATGACTCCGAAGGAAATCTTCTAGGTCTGCCAGAGTCAGAAACAGAATTAGATGTAAGAAGAAATTTTTTTGTTTTGCTTTCTTCCAATTTTGAAATTTTAGAGCGTTTTGTAGAATTTTCACATTTCATAGTTTTTGATGTTAGAGAATACAAACAATATTGACAATGAAAATAATGTATGGTTGTAAGTTATGCTATAGTCCCACTAGGACATAGGCAAGAACTTTTAGGTAACCTTGTCCTGGACTTGTTTCTTCAGCTCTATCTAGTGGCAACCTCCTATCTTTCTTGTGTATCTCACAAGTCTTGTGCTCAGGGATTCTTGTGCCTATTTTTCTCCCTCAAGAAACTCCAGATGATCTTTTTTCTTAAGTGTATGGCAGATTCCTCACTATTATTTTTGATGGGTTTTGTCTCCTAAAGGTCTTTGGCCTGTTCACTGCAGTAAACATGTCTGAGGCATGTGTTTGTAAATGCATGAATTGCTTTTTATTTGCTATCACGATTAACCATGGCTCTGCTGTAGTTCGGGTCAAAGAACTGGGATTAATTTGGGTTTGAAAAGGGTGGGGTGGGCGTAGTTTCTGTTGGGCTGGGTTAACAATGCAGCCAAAAGACCGTTTTCAAACTGGAAACTGGGTCGTCCAGTATTTTTTTTAAAACATATACCACTTTCTGTTGTTTTTTTAATTTTTAATACATAATTTTAGTTTTCATTCTATTATCTAAAACAAGTTAATTAAAAAAGTCTAGTGACATTTGTGCGCAATTTCCTTATGTTATCTAAAAATAGCTCTGACGTATAATGTTGGGGTGCGTTCAAGCTAGAAGAACAATCGGTTTGTAGGTGTTTATGTAATTTTAAAATTTGTGACCGAACGAGAGAATATTTTTGAAAACTTTCTTCGGCAATATTGTTCTAAATTATGACAGGAATCGATTGGTACATGTTTCAAGTCGCTAAGTGGTCTGGTTGCCGAGATATGGGCCAAAAACTGCTTTTTTTTCGAGATTTTTTGGCTTTTCTGGGAAATCCATGAAAGAAACCCGGAATTTTTATGGCCTATGTTCATCCTCGTAACTTGCTTAACATAATTGCTTTTGGAACTAGTCATCGATATTGCTTCGTTGAGGAGGAGATACGACTTAAAGCTGCGGACACACATTCATCCATCCATCCATCCATCCATCCAGAAATGACGGGTTAATAAACGCAATTCTCCAGAATGGAAATTGCGCTAAAAATTATTCAGTTTGGTTGAAAAATCAAATTTATTCAAACATTTGCAACTACAAATGATCATGTTTTAAAGTAGCTGTTACACATCATGGTCTAAAAAATAGATTTGCCAGCATTCATAAAAATATGTTTATTAAATTTTCCCCCAGAACTTAACAGAATTTAACACAGCCCACAACAGGCGAGTGATTTCAGTTGCTGATATGCCAGATGTTCCCAACCCACTGAAGCGTAAACACAAAACTGTTCATGTCAACTTTGCTGATGAGGAAGAAATCATCAACCCAGGTATGGTTTAAAAAAAACATGAAGTTTGACCTTTTTTTCTTTGTCTTTTTGAACTCATAGTAGAACATAATCCATTCACAAGATCCTTCCTTGCTTTTCTGCCCTTTGCTATTTTTTCCATGTCTTTCCAACTTCTCTACATACTTCTCATTGACTTTTTTTTATCTCTCTGCACCAGATGACTAGGTCTCCCCTTCTTTCCTTGATCTCTGTGGATTCCATGAAATGTCATGTCTAAAATACAAGTTGCCAGTTTCCTCTATGTATGGCCTATCCATCCAATAATATGACATCAGTCTTAAAATATTTTAGTTCCACCCACCACTTTAAACCTAGTCATCTGTGTTCACACCCCTACATTTTAAGATTGTTTTGTATACATTGAACTGTATAAATCACTGTAACATCAGGGGTTCTTAAATCTTAAATATTTTAGTTCCACCCACCTAACCTAGCCATCTGTGTTCACACCCCTACATGTTAAGATCATTTTGTATACATTGAACTGTATAAATCATTGTAACATCAGGGGTTCTTAAATATTTTAGTTCCACCCACCTAACCTAGCCATATGTGTTCACACCTCCCACATTAAGACCCACTGATGTACACTGAACTGTACTATAGTCATCAACACGTGTGTTGGTTTACCTCTAATACCTGTTATGTACTTACCTGTTAATGGACATTACCTCACCATTTATTATGAAGTGTTAAGTTAAGCAAGGTTTCTAATTCTGATTGACTAGAGCAGTTTGTAATTGATTCAATCTCTTTCCTTCTTGTAGAAGACATTGATCCATCCATTGGCCGGTTTAGAAATTTAGTGCAAACTACAGTCATACCTACAAAGGTGAGTTTTTAAAATATGTTCCAGCACTTAAGTTACATGCAGTAACAATTCTCATTTAAAATGTTGTAAAAGTTGCTATAGTAAAAAAAAAGTAAGGAAAGATACTCTTTTGGACTTGACGGTCATTATGACAGGTGAAATAGTTCTTGTTTCCATGACATCTGCATTTGAAGGGATTTTGTGTCCAGTTTTATACCCAACTCCCTTTACCTTCCTAATGTGAGCCTGGGATCCAAACCCAAGACTTTCAAGATAGCTGTTATGCGCTCTACCTCCTGACCACCCAGTCCCATAAAGTTACCAAAATGCTGTAATAATGTTTTGTTTCTTGCAAATACTTTATATGAAATGTATCTGAAATCAACCAGGAATTCTCTAAGTATTCTCTCACTCTCTACTTTATCCTATTCCCTGACAGAGAGGAAAGATGGACCTGAGCGCCATCAACTCCGGCTCTCACCTCCACACAAACAAGCACCAGCACACCACACACGGCCTGTACGGGGACCTGCCCTCTGTCGGCTCGGGCTCCATGTTGGCCAACCCTCTCAGCATCGCGGCCAAGCTTGGGCTCCCTGTTCCTAACCTGGCGCCTGATGTGGACTTTGAGAGCCACGCCCCCGCCCCCATTCAGCCTCCCACTATTCCATTACCTGGTGTGGAGGAGCAAGGACCCAAAGAGCCCAAGAAGAAGAAGTACGCCAAGGAGGCGTGGCCTGGGAAGAAGCCCACCCACAATTTATTGGTGTGAATTTATCTGTTTATTTCTTGCATTTCATTTCATTCAAAAAAAGCATGTTGCATTGTAACGTTATTGTTTATAAATGAATGTATGAAAGTTTACAAAAGAGTTGACAATGTATTTAAGATGTTATTACCATTTATATTTTTAAAAATAATTTAAATATTATTTACTTGTCAAGTTTAATACAAGGACTGTAATTCACCACAATAATTTATAACAGTTGGGTTGTCTTTTCCTGCGCCATCAAATGTTCCAACAGTTTACCTCCCCTGCTGTTCCACTTATTAGTTACATTTGAATTAAATGAGCATGTTTTAGGTCTATTGTAATGGTACCAAATTGTCTCTTCCATACAAGCACTTGACTTCATCCAGGGTCATAGCCTAGGGTTAGATAGATCTATAAATCACGTCTTTGTAAATATTGTATATTTAAAATGAATCATAGAATGTCATGCCACTTGCGTCATGTGTCATTATGTCACTAATACTAAGCGCCTGGATACATACAGATGTATTTTTGGTTTTTGTTTTCATCATTGAGTTGTTTTTTGAATGAGAGTTAAAGTTTGTTGTAAATTAAGTGAACAATCTTGAAATGTTTGTAACTTAAAGAGTTGATTGAAGCTGTCTCCTTAATAAAGGTTCAAAGGTTCATAGCAGGGTTTTTAGTTAGGTGGTTCATTTGTTCATGTGTGTTGTATCACTTGTGTATGTAAAGATTGTATTATCATATTACAATTTATGTGACATTATGTGCTAAACACATTCTGTGCTAGATGCATGACTTTATGGGATTGCCAGAAAATGTTATGGTTGAATTGTAGTAGTTCATGATGTTTGACAAGATCTCATACATTTTCTTTATAAGGGTTCTTTTGATGAGTAAACTTTTGATCAACTTAGTTACAAACCTCACATTTTGCATTATACAAGTACTAGCATCCACACAAGTATTCTAATGGGGGGGGGGGGGTAGGGGAGGGAAGTTCCTTTTTTTTAAAACAGAATATTGTGGTTGTCTTTATTTTAAAAGGTGATTTAAAATTTGGAATCCCCTAATGAAATCATCCTCCAAAGAGACATTCAATAACAGCAGAGGATCCAGTGTGTCAGCACAAAATGTAAGCTGGACTAAAAATGTAAGTAATGTTCCAAATGTAGGCCAAGGTCTAAATATAACCTGATGACAATATAGTAACCAGCATTTAGGACATACTTGTCCTAAATGTGGGGTCGTAGTTGGACATGGTAAGAATGCAAATAATATCGAGCTTCCTGTTATCTTACACAATTTATAATTGCAGTTGTGTCCCCTGGTTTCGTATACTTGCTGTTTAAAATTAAATACTAGAGTTATCTACCCTCCATTGGTGCTAAGTTTGATATGATAATTTAAGCAGACAATCGATGTTAAAAATTATTATTATAAGTCCTGATTGTACAGTAATGTTAATTGATATACTACACTATTTACTACTTTCGTCACAGCATTCGTTATTGATCTGTATTCGACAACATCTAAAAATACAGTGGCCATAAATGGTTGAAACGGTCTAAAAATAAGTTAGCTAGTATAATACGAGTTACCTACCTTGCCAATCAATCTGAGTGCAAGTTGAGTGGTGTAATGGATCTTACTTTTCGCTATGACCTGACCAATACAGCTCATTAATCACTACAGATACATGCAATAGTTCTATTATATAAGCCTCAAAGACCCTCAAAATGATATTTGTGTAAGGACAAAATAAACTTAGACATGAAGTGCAAAGAAAAAATTAAAACTAAGAGCTATATAAAATAAAGAGTATCTATAACAAGGCTGTAATCGTATTCGGACGTATTGTATCTATAACTTAAGGGGTCATCCATAAATGACGTCACGCTTTTTTTGACGATTTTTACCTCCCCCCCCCCTCCCCTCCGTCACACATCGTCATAAAAAGCCAGACCCCCCCCCCCCCCCCTAAAATGACGTCACACCTCAACCTACAACCCCCCTCAAAATTGCAGTTGAATTTTTTTAAACATCGATATTTTTCCAAAATCTTGTCTAAACTATTACAATTTATTAAAACAGTTATCTAAAACGCGAAATAACGTCTAAAATTCGTTTTCTAACATTGCTTTTTAATAATCCAAAAATGTGACGTCGCAACATCTGAACCCCCCCCCCCCCCGCCCTCCCCCTCATCACACATCGTCACAAAATTACGGACCCCCCCTCCCCCCTACGAGTGTGACGTCATTTATGGATGACCCCTAAGACGGGTATTACAAAACAAGATGGATATTTCTTAACTAAAAATGGACACTACAAAACTAAAGACGGATAATACAGAAGTAAGGGCGGATACTACATAACTAAAGACGGACATTACAAAATTAATGACGGATAGCATTTAATAGATCGTCCGCAAAAGACCTCACAGTGAGAGATGAGGGGGGGGGGGGTAGAAATTATTGTGAAGTAGGCATTTGTTGACATTTTCCTCTATTAAATCTTTTAAATTGTAACACAAACTGATCAACAATGACAAAACTAGAGCTAGTCAAGCGAATTACGATTTTAGAAAGAAATTGCTCTTTAGAATAACAAAATAATTGCAAATTGATTACAATTTGGGGGATGGTGGAAAGGGGTTGGCTGAAGTGTGACGCCATTTAAAAGGGGTCTCACTTATGACATGTGACGATGGTGGGGGTGGGGGTGCTTAAATCGTCAATCGTCAGAAAAAATATGACCTTGAATGTGGACAACCCCTAACTAAAGCCAGGTAAAGTACTGTCTTTGTCAGGTATCTCTTCAGCACTGACATCCCCCCCCCCCCCCGAACGAAATATAATTTATATAGAAAATATATATTTTACGTCCAGTATCAGCCTAGCCTAAGTCCACCACCCCTCCCCTCCCCCCGAAAATTACAAGTGCCGAATTTTCAAAGACGGACTTAATAAAAAATAGAAACCGACATGAACAAAACTAAAGACTGACGTCACACCCTCAATTAAAGACGTACACAATAGACAGAACAACTGAAGCTGTATACTATACCTGTACCTGTTTGTGACGGGGAGGGGGGGTGGCTGTAAGGTAACCGGAAGTGGATGTTTAAAACTACGTTTGATCGATGGCAGATCTGCGTGCGCACTCACCGGCAGACGAATGGCCACCGCTGGTAGCTCTAGGCTCCTGTCTCAACTGTTTGTTGTTATAAAAAGCATTCAAAACAGAACCCCCAACGTGTGCTCCTGTTATTTATTCTTTTTAATCAGCACTGGACTGACCAATTTTATATATTACCGGGTCGTATAGCATTGAGATTTAAAAAACAAAACACAAGATAAATAATTAATTATGGGCATATGTTGATCGTTAAGGGTCACATACGAATAGAAAAATAGGCAAGCTTATTAAAGCAACATAGCTATGCAGTCATAATGTAGATCTATATATACTCAAAATAGTTAATCAGTATTCTATGGATTCATGTTTTAAGAACCGTTGTTTACAACAGTTGAAAGTTTGTCTAAAAATAGTAACAAGTGATTTTATCCCTTCGATTGGTCCCTGTAAATCACATGACAGGAAATGTACTAAAATTAGTTTCCGTATGGTTGAGTAATCCCGCATCATCTGTTTTTCTCACTTGAGGGTCGCGGTCAAATCCGTACTGCCACGATCATAGCGCGCATGCGCGAATTTCCGAAGCAGCAGTTCCTCCGACGGTGACGGCTGGCAGATGATATTTTTCTCCACGGAAATGCACGATTCGGTCGAGGGTATCCGGTGAATCATGGACGGCGACCGGCTGCCCTGGTCGCCCCACATTGTACTCATCCTTGGAAGATAAACCGATGACCTGAGAACCGGCGGGTCACACAGGCAGTGGACGCAGAATGACCAGCAGGCCATCTCCTCTGTGGGACTTAGGGTCGGCTGGGCAGGGGACGCCACCACGCTGTGATCGCGGAACCCGAACAGTTTTCGGATGATGCAGATGACCCGCCATCGCAGCTCCCTCCTGACCAGCAGGTAGACCCAGGGGTCAAGGATGGGGTTGAACGAGGCCAGCCTGGTCATGAGCAGGTAGTAGCTGCTCACGTTTATGTAGCGTATGACGTCTGTCTGACAGATGATGGTAAAAACCTGACGGAGAAAAAAAAAGATGAGCGTAAAAATGACTATACACGGCTTTCAGTATTGAAATTGGATCTTTATAGACCCGCTTCTTTATCTTATAAGCAAGTTACATAAAAAGTTATGCTACACTTTCGACCCTGACGGTCAAATTGGCAGATGAAGTAAAGTTCACCTGTTTCTGTAACCTCGGCATATGAAGGGATAGCGTGATCAGTACTATGTGCAAGCGACTTTACTTTGCTTTACGTGAGTCAGGTACCCATTGGAGCTGAGTGGGCTCAGAGAAGTCCTAAGGACTCAAACACAGGATCCAAACTCAATACTTTCGAGTTATCAGTTGCACGCTCTACCATCCGGACACGCAGTAACATAAGTTACAAATTGATACGCTTAATTCTATTTTAAAGTAAATTCAATTTTTCATAAAGTAGTAACTATGTAGGATATTGCAGTAGCTATTTGAATAAGAAATAATACATTAGACTAGAGGCTAGATGAGACATGGACATCGCGCGATCTAACAGAAAGAGGAAAATGAAGTATTGTCTGAGCAGTACCCTAGGTAACGGGCTCTAGTCGGTAAAAAGTTCACTAAATCCTCAGTTCTGATGGTTACCTTACCTTATGTTAAGAAAAGTAAAGACGGATGGGCATAGTGCTGACCACACTATCCCGTTAGATGCGGTGGTCATGCAATTAGATGAATTTTACTTCACCTGCTCTAACAACAGGTCCGAAATAGTATAACTACCTTTTTTTTAAATTTTACATTTGAGAACTGGAACAGCAAACATGACCCACACCGTTTGAAGACACAGCACAACCATGCGCCCCCCCCCCCCCCCCACAGTTCAAGACACAGACGAACCATGCCCCCCACCCCCACATACCAATCATGGCCCCCACATACCAATCATGCCCCCCCCCCACACACCACACATACCATGCCCCCCCCACATCACACCACATATACCAACCATGCCCCCCACACACACCACCCCACACAGACCTACCATGCCCCTCACATCACCCCACACAGACCTACCATGAGCGGCATAAAGCAGGCTGTGAATACCACCGTCACCCCAATCAACATGATCACCATGTGCAGCTCCGCAAACCTCTGTGCCAGACTTCTGTACCGCTTAATCCCGTGGGTGGCACTCAGCGCGTTCTGTCGCTTCTTCAACGCCATCACCGTCACGATAACAGCAATGTTGCAGATGAAGGTGGCGATAATGGCGATGAGGGATATAATAGCGTACATAAAGTTAAACGCCATGTCTTTAGGCTCACGGCTTGTGGAGTTAAAAAAACACCAGGTTTTCGGAAACTGTACCGTGTTGTGTCCTAATCCGAGTAACGGCAACACAGCAATGAGTATCGACACCAACCAGCTGATTAGAATCGCGTATTTGGCGAAAGATTTCGGGAGTTTGCAGTGGTAGGCGTATGGATGACATAGACAGATGTATCGTTCGATCGCCATGGCGCAGACTAAAAACATGGTGGCGAATCCGGCGAAGATTAGCATGAAGGAGAAGTAATGGCATAAAGGCATGTCGCTTTCTAGTTTGGTTCCCGTGGCGTAGATGGTGATGACGACGGGGGAGGTGGCGCATGTGCCGACGAGGTCCGTGAAGGCCAGCCCGGCCATAAGTTTGTAGAAGACCGTGCGTTTTTGTTCCGGTGGGGAGGTGGCCATCAGGGCCAGGGCCAAAACGTTGCCGGCCACCCCCGCGGAGAACATGAGACCCGATGCCAGGATGGTCCGGTTTTTGATGGTGTCGTCTGCTGAGGTCTGGTTGAAGACCTCCGAGAGGTTGTCTTGGAGGTAGATCAGTGCTGTGGCGGACATGTTGATGAGAGGTGTCATGTTGATGACAGGTGTCATGTTGATTGACTTTAGAATTTGCTGAGACAATTGTTAAAAGTGTCGTGTAAACCAAGTCATCTCTAAAACTATAATTTGCTGTCTGTATTTGAGGTCTTCGCATAAAATATCTTAGTTTGTATTCCTTTTGGGCTTTTTCGTGGGAACTAAGTGGTCACATTCCCGCTTCAGTTTATCTGTCGCCATGGTGATTCTGGAAACATACAAATAATAACATTATTATTTTTTAGTTGACATAATTATGTTACAAACAAAAATTGAATGATTTCATAACAGGTGTATGTGTTAGTCATACAAGTCATAAAAATACATTGCCGGTTCAGTTTAGTTACTTTAACACCCATCATCACGTTGGTGAATAAACACCGCTAAGCCGCCATTAAGTTTTATGACACTTTTGATAAGATTATTTTAATTTTTAAAAAATATGCAGTAGTTTTTTTTTGTTTCTTTATAATTTTTCGAACACGACTTTAAAGAAACTTGTAACCATGAAATCGGCATACACTTACACAATACACTTTATCACCCCGCTGTGGTATTGATAAATAAACCTGTAAGATAAGTTTATACCCTATCCCTAAAAGCCCCAAAGTATTGTTTATATAGACTCCATACTTCATGTTGTGGGGCTGTTAAGTAAACAGAGTTGTGCCACATAAGTTTACCAGCAATCGTTGTGTTGACCTTATCAGATCTACCTACCGACGTCTCACCATTGTTAACACAATAGGTGACTGTTGTGTGTGGGAGTACGTGATTAGTTGGTTGAACTATCGCTGTAACAAGGCTTATAGTCCAGAGTTTCTAATGTAGCATAACACAATAGGTGACTTTTGTGTGTGGGAGTACGTGGTTGAACTATCTGTATAACAAAGCTAACAGTCCACCGTTTCTTTAATGTAGCATTACACAATCCCGTTATGTGTACGTGATTACTAGGTTGAACTATCTGTATAACAAAGTTAACAGTCCACAGTTTCTAATGTAGCATTACACAATAACTTTGTTATACAATCTTTAAAACAAGAACAGTGGTACATCGATATACTAGTGCCCCGACATGCGATATTTTTAGAAACGAGTTGTCGAGCGAGCTAAAAAAATTTTGACATAAGAACACAATTTGAGATACGAGTAACCGGATTAGCGGGTTTCACAGTTCGTGGAAAAGAAAAAGAAACACCTCGAGAAAGTTACAACGGATTGTACATCGGGGCTATTTAACGACACTTACCTACCCTATATTATGTTATTAAACAAAATTTGTTGTGTATACATTCACTTTTCCTTATTTGAAAACACTTATAGAAAAACAACTGGGGTGGCATTTTGGTGCTGGAACGGATTAATAGCATTTCAATTATTTTTATTGGGAAAAAAATAACTTTGAGATATGAGCAATTTGACATACGAGCAAAGTTACGGAAATAATTAAACGCGTATTTTCAGGTACCACTGTATTATGGTCCACAGTTTCTAATGTAGCAGTCCTCGTTAAATTTGTTACACAATCTTTTAATCAAGCATTATAATCCAGTTTCTAATGTAGCATTACGCATGACACAATTTCCAAAATGAGAATTGCACAATAACTTTGTTATACAATCCTTAAAGTTATATATTTTAAAATTTTATGTAACATTAACTTTCACATATACGCAGTTATAAGATTAGATCAACATATATAATGTCCTTTTGTTACTGTTACTTTTTTCTTTGTTAGATTATCGCATGAAAAAAGTCTTACAAATGACAGTGAACACACGAAAAGTTTGTCATCTAGAAATATCTAAGAAACAAATCTTATTGTTAACAATTGCCAGTAAGATTACTTAATCTCTAAAAACACATCTTACAAATTTTAATAAAGGCGGGCGATTACACAAATAAGTTAGGTAAAACTATCGTAACAGCAGGCTAACCATTTCGTACACGGATATTAAACACAGAACTATAAATATCAAACAATGACCATGTCTGTTACGTGCCAGTTGCCATTGTACACAGTATATTTGTTTCCGGTTACAGTTTGACAGGTATAGAGTGTGTTACGGGTGGGTGTGTAGTGACACATGAGGTAATCTCTATCAGGGTTATAAAACTGTTCCGTTTTCTCGAGATAAGAAACAAAGTGCTGTGACGTCTAAGGGCGATTCGAGTTCAAAGTCAACGACGTTTTCCTGGTCCTCGATACAACGAGATGAGTGGGTTGAGTCAGCGTTTGATGCTTAATAAAGAGAAAGTATTTGAACTTCGTTCTTTAGACTAGTGGCTTAAGTAGTAACAGGGTTTCTCCGTGCAATTAGCATTGAAATTGTTTCGATTATCTTAATTTCTTAACTAATTCAATCATGTCTTTTTAATGTTTAGATTGGCTGTAATCGATTCAGAATTTTAGCTGATAACCGAGGCTCGATACTTTAACCCTAAACCACACAGTTACATTGATGCTGGGGTTTTGGGTAAGGTGGTATTTTAAACAAAACCGAAAATAACAGCTTTAAGTATTGCGATGTTAAAGTAAATGACTGTAATCTTATATTTTAAATGTCTTTGCGCCTATTGGTTGAGCTATAGTAACAAGACGGAGGTGTGTAGGGATTATACAATGGTATAACAGTGGTGTAACTGGTTACGATGACGGGAACTGATCTTCTCCACGAGAGAATTTTATTAAGATTGTCGCCCTAATTTCTTCTTCTTCTTCTTCGCTCTTTTGTGTAACGTTGAACGGGATTTCTCCCAACACAAGTAAGTATCACGTGTCAACATGTTATGCGCTATATGACCTTAACATTTAATTGATTTTTTTTCTCAGAGCAACCTATTTGAGCATGGGACGGCGTGGCCTTAGCGGTACAGCTAAGCTACTAACACGCGTCTCGAGTTCGAATCCGGGTGCAAATCATAAAAACGTCTCTCACTCCCTTTACCCAGCTCTAAGGGTTACTGTTAGGGAAAGTAAATGGGACTGGGCATAGTGCTGACCACACCATTCCTACATATGCCGAGGTTAAAAAAAACATCGTTTGGTCTACCGCTAGGCCACGGTTAAAGTCCAGTAACTGGGTGCAACCCCACTACCCCAACTGTGTCTACCCACCTACGACAATGCAGGTTTGATATTGAAGAAACCCCACCTACAACAATGTAGGTTTGATATTAAAGAAACCCCACTACCCCACCTGTACTTGTCTACCCACCTACAATGCAGGTTTGATATGGAAGAAACCCCGCCTCCAAGAATGTAAGTTTGATATTGAAGAAACCCCGCCTACAAGAATGTAGGTTTGATATGGAAGAAACCCCGCCTACAATGCAGGTTTGATATTTAAGAAACCACACCTACAACAATGTAAGTTTGATATTGAAGAAACCCCACTACCCTAGCTGTACCTGTCTACCCACCTACAATGCAGGTTTGATATGGATGAAACCCTACTACCCCACCTGTACTTGTCTACCTACCTACAACAATGCAGGTTTGATATTTAAGAAACCACACCTGGCCCATGTTTTACCTTCCTATTAGAGACGGGCAGCTGGCTGCTGAAGTTGATTACAGGTAAGTAATTAAAGCCCAACCGTGGATGGGCAGTCCATCTATCCAGTGGGGGGGCAGAGCTAATAAGTGCTGACTGAGGGTAAAGGGTTCGTGTCCACATATAGATTTTATAAAGGAAGTAGAGACAAGGAGGACTGATGTCCAACCACAGTAGTTCTATCAGAGAGGTCGACGTTCACGTACGCAATGCTAAAAGATTAGATAAACATGATTGATGACTTTTGTATTATCACTGTGGATGTCATCTTGTTAGTTACCGTTTTTTTTTTGTAAATCTAAAACCCCCTTCAGGAACGAAAATCATGTTCACTGTCTAACACACCCTGATACACCTAGGCCTACTACTTTAGCCATATTCTGTAGCATGGTCTAGTTAAACTCCACCCATATGTCATATGTGAGATGGTCTAGTCCAGACCCACTCATATACGTAAGTAGTTGGATGATAAGTTAAGGTAACAATATAATATGACGACTCTCAATTATCGTAAAGTCGGTAAACATTTCTAAACAAGAGGCATTTTAAAACTAACGAGCCGGCCCGCGGCATAACATACGCCGCTATTTAGTTGTTTCTAATTTTCAATAATTCATAATTTGTGAATTCGACAGTACCAACGCTGCCACTGAAAATATTTCTTTAAAACACTATAAGTAGCTCGTTAAGGACCATAACCCCCCCCCTTCCTTCCCCCCCTCCCCCCCCCCTACGTTTAAAATCGTTGGCTCTGCTTGTAAACATTTAGAGTGAACACAGTTCACTAAAACCATGTAGGGGTGGGGAGGTAGGGAGAGCGTTTGCAGCTTGTTTTCTAACGGCTCGAAGAAGAGAATTATATATATAGATGATGATTGAAACATATTTTACCGAGGGCGTTTATATAGGATTTCTGAACCACATTGCTCTAACTCAATATTTTTTCGCTTATGTTTTAGATTGATACACCATTTCGTTCAAAATACACTAAAGTATTTTTAAAATATGTGTGGCCATATCTCTTAACATTATTACACAACAATTTCGTTCACCAAACGCTTAATATAAAATCTTAATAAATAAAATCTTTTTTTTAGAACATTTTACAAACTTAGAGTTAGAATAGTCGGGTTCTTACTTATATATATATATATATATATATATATATATATATATATATATATATATATATATATATATATATATATATATATACATATATGCCCTGTAGGCCTATATATTCAACTAGGATGACGAATAGAAGTGTGTTTTAATTAGAGCTACTTTGATTTCAGGTGTGTTTACAAACACGGCTCCTATAAACGGCTCTTGTAAATGGGGAGCCTCCCTGGGGAGAGAGAAGAAAATAAATAAACAGGGAGGTAACCGGAACTGACGTAGATGTATGCCGCGATGACAACACGATGCATAATCATCAGCCTCCACCTGATCCAGGTCTGCTACTCGTTAGGAAGAAATTACACTAACAATAAGCAGAAGCGCCATTTACGTGTAAAACCTACATGTATACGTGCATATATACATACATACATACATTATATATATATATATATATATATATATATATATATATATATATATATATATATATATATATATATATATATATATATATATATATATATAT